AGAAAGCTATTGAATAAACTAAGATACATGTAAGTCCACTCAAAGATGTACCCACTGGCCCAAGAGGGTAAATTTGAGGATTAATAAGAGTAACAACTTCAATGAATTAAAATGTATCAAATATGTTAAAGTTCAATTTCTTGATCTGGGTGGTGGTTATAAGGATGTCTGATATAATAATTTATTAAGCTATACATTTGTTTAATTCTGTTTCTGTAACTGTGCTGTTTAAAACATACTTTTTAAACTCAGTGAGTGAATGTATCCATCATATAATTTTCAGAGAAAATGTTCCAGAAAGTTCCATTTCTCTATTAAGTATCAATCTATCAAGTTGATAAACACAAGAAGTCTAAGGTGATATTTTCAATATTTATTAGTAAGGCTGAGGCCACAGCCTTTATACAGCACAATTTGCATAAGTTATCAAGATACATCTTGTATACAATCACAAAACCAAAACATATTTTTATATAGAGTAAAACTCAAGACAGATTTACAAGCATTTTTTATACAAATCTCATTATTTCAGTTCCATTTATACAACCTTTAACCCAAGAATTTTTATTTGTTCATTAGATTTTCCAGAGAGATTTGGGTAGAACAGAAAAAAAGGACACATTAGCAAATCACCAACACAGCATGCAACATACAGTTAGAAGCAAGACATATCTCCAAGTACTCTATTTTTTATCTTGAAATGAATTTTATTAGGTTTTTATTCTTTCAGGCAAGAAATTTATTTCCTTTAACATCAGATGTGTTTTTGTTAGGCTATCAGCACACACATTAATTGGTAGTGGGAGCACCTGAGCACATCACCAACAAATATATGGACACAATCAAACAAGAATCATATTCACATGCTGAATGCCACAAGGATTTAATATTTCAACTTCATCTAGGTTAGCAAATGTATAGTTATGTACAGGGTAACGAATTAAGAAAATGTGGTCAATCTACGTATCAGATAAGGAATCATTGATTAAATGTTTTTGATTTAAAGGGTATATCTTTAATAATAACAACATGGAACATACAGAAAACATCAATGTGTCATATTCAATGAGAATATCTGTGTCACTCATTCATTCTTGTGTTACATCAAAGGCAAGTTATTATTAAAGGAACAGCTCATAATTATTCATTGAGCTTTCTTTTACTTCCAGCTCCAAGCTCAAAAAGAGGGAAAATCACTCTGTCACACATAGAGTTATAAACACATATATAGCTATAGTTGGCTGCTTTTGGAATATTAGACATTGTAGCAATGAAAATAAGTTTTTAAAATATTGTTAGTTATGATTTAAATAAAGTAAAAAAATACTATAAACATGTTTATGATATCTTAATGAAATGAAACACTGATCAAATCATTTCTAATAAATTGGGCACAATATAGTATATTATTTCATTTTATTTCACATCACCACCAACCTAGTTCACTACCTCTATCACCACAATCATCACAACCGTTCCTATAATAAGAATCAATATCAGCTGGTTACCAGCTATAATATTCCCACAATATGACTATCTTTATGTGTGTGATCCACAAAATTAAATCCACTGATATGCTGAAAATACGTATTTACTAGTGTGATTAATTACAATATGGGCAACATTAAGGAGCAAAGACAATCACTACCCCTTAGTCTTGGATACTCTTCCTTTAAACTGAAGTGATAAATAAAGAGTTCAGAGTCGCCAAAAATCTCCTTAACCTTAAGTAAAACAAGGAAACACCAACTTCTTGCTCCTAGTGTTGTCTGTGTCCGTCACGATCATTCTAGATATCCCTGTCTTTTGTAAAAATTCACTCTGTGCTTTTGCTTCACAGCTAAAGGTTTCTTGAGGACCGAATTTTAAACCAAGAAGCAACTTCCGTCTCTGATGACTCAGTAAAGTTGTGGGAAAAATTAATATGCTTTTCAAGGTATAAGTGCTATAGTCGGACTAATCACGTGTTATTTAGAGATTACAAACTTTGTCTTTATTAGGATAAAAAACGCTAATTCTGGTAAAATAAGTGAAATAAAAAGTGGAAAATCATGTGCTGTGATATATGCAAAAAGTAAAAAACACCAAGAGCCCTATTTGCAATTAAAAAAGAAATAGTTCTGTTGTAAGAAGGTTAATCAATATCATTCAGAAGAAATGCATTTGTAGAAGGATCAGTGTTGCATAGAATAATTCCAGTACAACCTAGGTGTTTGGTCAGCTGCAAACTTGGCACAATTATGCTCTCTGAAGGGGGATGCTAGTGCACAAAAATAAGCCCTGTCACTTAACTCGCTGGATTGGCCTGGCCCCATCACCAGTTGTTGGAACAGAGGGGCACCTATAATGGAAAGACTCCTACTTTTTCAGGTCAAATAGCTACCAAGGTATGACCTTTGTTTTGGTGGCACCTCCTTTTGTGTATCCTAAAAGAAACTGCAACTGGAATGAAGTAAACTAACTGGTCATAAACCTCTCCTGCACACTTCTGGATGTAAGTGGCTGCAGAAGAGCGCCCACGGGAGCCAGAGTTTCCTTTTAAGGACAAACAGCAGAGCCTTTTTATGTCGGAAAGAGATCTTCCTGAACCCTTCCCTTCCCCAGTTATGAGCGATGATTATAAGCTTCCTAAAGTGCTAAATTCTGCTGGAAATATCCATGGCAACCATCAGCAGATTTAGTTGTCTCTAAAAATAGAATCCTAGCAATATCAAATCCTTAGCCATCCCCTCACCGCACGTTCATTTTACAGCAATATCAATGATAAATGACATTGCATTTTTGGGGGAGAGGGTCTTAAAAAATAGAGGGAAGAAAAGTGACTTATCTTCCTTAGATTGGAAAGGAGTGACTCTGTATTTCTTTATGAATATAATAAAGATATGTACCCTGGTATTTATTAGAAATTATTTTTAATGTCTTAAATTTAATCAATTCCTATTAGATTTCAAGGATGTTTTTCTTTAAAAATGAGAAGATTCAATATCTGAGCAATATATTTGGAGATGATTTCTCTAATCCCACTAAAACCTCACCTTTGAATAAAGAATCAGCTCTTAAACTCAGAGTTCACAGAGAAGCAATTTAATTAATTTATTTTTGTGAATATGGGAATAGGATAAGATCGGCATAATTTATTTAATTTATGATAACCCGATTTGCAAATCATTTTCATTGAATTTTCTCCCTTTTTTAGGTTAAACAAAAGTTTATATTTTAAAGAAAAAAATTAGTTTTGAAGCCAATATACTGCTTTTATCCATGTCAGTGCTTGCTATTGGTTTGGAAGATGCTTTTTCACATATGAAAATTGGGAAATAATAAACTGCATAATACTTATTCCTCACTTATGTGTATAAAACTATATTTGGAAATGTGCTTTCATCTTCTCTCATAGATCACTTAGTTTGATCATCGCAACATCCCATTAGGAAGGCTAGGAATATATAATTATATTTTCTCACAAATAAGAAAACTGAGGAAAATTGAGTTTAAGTGACATGTGCAAGGTGACACAGTTAGTCAGTGGCAGAACCAAGACCAGAAGTCAGGCTTTTAATCCTAGCTGAATGCGTCTCCTGTAAGTCCACGTTACCTCCTTTGTTCACATTGTTGGTCGATGGGGAAGAGGATGCTTCATTTTAATGACTTAGACATTGATCCTTTTATTCCATATTATTAAAAGAGCTCAAAGGATATTTTCACCTTAATATAATGTTGATTTTTCACATATTTTCCCAACATTGATGAACTTGATCACTGTGATACTGTCACTAAAGTAGGAAAATAGAGCACTAAAGAGAACTTGAATTTATGGTCAGGGTTTTCATTTTACAACCAGTTAATGTATTAAGGGGAAAAAAAGACCATTGTGGAAGAGCAGGAAATGACACCAATTTAATCAATGTCACAGATTAATACGATTTGTTTGCCAGAGGAAGAATTTTCTCTCCATCCATATATCATTCAAGGGAAAGAAAATATATGGGATAATACATTTATTTGCAATTCCACAAAGAACAAGTTATCATGCTCCCTAGAACATACCAATTTAATCTAGGTCCTTTGGTATGTAGATTGAAAATGTCTTGGATTAAGGGTAAATTATGGAGTTTTTGATGTTTCAACCAAGGTTCCAATAGTTTGTGGGGCAATATTCTTTTTTGTTAGCCAGTCATGGCTTTCTTTCTAGATAAATGTAATTTAATTTCTACTTAGTATTGTCTTAACTATACTTTATTTCAAGTTTTACTAATGTGCTTTTACAACATGAATTCTAAAACTGGTGATGTTCACCCTTGTAACATTTAGACACAGAGAAAACCTGTACAACATGATCTAAAAGCTATAATTTCTACATTCCTGGTTCCCTTTTTCCTATAAACACAAGCTCCTTACTTCTAGTCTGGACACATATTGTAGGTGTATCCTATGTCAGAATCTCAAAACAGTTAGATGTCTGAGTAGATAAGATGAAGAAGAGACTTTTGAAAACTGAGATTTGTTGCATTAGTTTTTTCCTTTCAACCAAGTTCTTCTGCATAAAGGATTACTTTTGCCTGTGTTAGAAAACATATTAATCTTTGAGTCTCGGCCTTTAGATAGCTGTAGCTCAACCCTACTCAAAAATTTTTGCATTAAGTAAACAAAATTTCTCTCACTGTTTTTCTTGACAGCCACAAGAAATCCAAGGTTTCAGAACTTTTTTTCTTGTCTTCAATATATTAACTTTTTCATTTGAGTTTTTTTTCTATGTTCCACAACAATACATTTGCAAGCCTTTGAGTATGTTTTTGCCTTTTGTTCCTCTTCTCATGGTTACCCCTGAAAACATGGCTTAGAACAATAGTATTCGACTATAGTCTTGATTTAAGACCATTTAAAGCACTTTCTATACCCTGAGCAGACACATTTCTTCAGTGGGTTTGAGTGGGACTGACAAAAAGTTTGCGCCAGTTGACTATTCTTTTTCTGAGATCCACTTTGTCTAGACAGATACAGGCTTCGCCAATCAAGGTCTCTTTCATAAACTTCCCTCCATTGGAAAAATGTAAAATCTAGAAAAAATAGCCAAAATTATATATATTTGTATGTATATTTTCAACCTCTTTTATGGACACTTGCTCATCAAAGAAGTAACAGAGACAAGAAAGGTTGAGGGTGAGAGAAGTAGCAGGCATACTTGTAGGAGAACTAATAACTAACATGTCCTCAAAATATTTGCATAATATTAGTTAATTTACCTCAACATTTCCCAAAGGCAAAGACATATCCTGAAGGACAGGAGAATTCTAGATAATATTAGCTAGGTAGATAAACCTAGCTAATTCTAACTAGGTTTTTGCTTAAACTGACTGAAAGTTTTAAAAAAGAAATTTGCTAGGTGCATGTTTTATTACTTAATGAAATGTTAACTCAAACACAGAATGATTTGAGTGGTGAGTACATAAATACGAGTTTACAAGGCGGATAGAACGTAACATTGACTTTAAATGCCATTGAATTTACTGGGAATTTTATTATAGGAAACACTTGCAAAATGGCTTCTTGTCATATGTAGAGCTTACACTAGTTGAAATTCCATGGGATCTCATACTCAAGAAATTTTTTTCTTTTAGGGATCAGTTGAAAGAAAAGTAGAGAAATTGAGATGGAGATAACCATTAATCCTTGACAATTCTTCTCTCATGCTCTCTCTTTCTTTTCGGAATCTCCTTCAGATAATTCATCTTTATTCCTGGCTAAAACTTACTGTTACGTTTCTGACTTCAAAATCTACTTTTCTGTCTCTATTAGCCTCTGGTTTGGGGATTTCAAATCGCACATTATATGTTTTACTTGGACCCTGCCTTCCTATCAAGTTTATTACATTTCAGACAAACTCATGTTCTTTCTCCCTATCCATCCCTTCTGTAACTACCCAATCTCTGTGACTGACACCTTTGTGCACACAGATTTCAGAGTATCCTTTAATTGTTTTATTCCCTTCAACTTTAATGTCAGTTAATCCTCTCAGTGCAGTTTTTGCTTTGCAATATCTCTTATATAGGTCTCTAGTACAGGCCTCTAAGTGCGAGTACCACGGTCTTCTCTTCCCACAGTTTTTCAGCTCTTCCCTCCCTCCTCCTTTTTCCTCTTTCATTCCATGTCTCTGTATCTACTAAAGATATACTATGTACAAGCATTGTGCTAGGCTACAAAAAAAAGAGCAATGAAAATCAAGCCTTGCACTACAGAAGCTGATAGTACAGAAACAGTGAGAGGTAAGTATACAAATTGTTGTACAAGACTGGGATTAATGGCCTAATGAGATAAGCAAAACATTATGTGAATAAGTCATGATAAATTACACCCAGGGTCATTATTAAAGAGCTGAATTTATATAGAAAGATATTGAAAATTGTGATAGATGGAGAGAAATGGAGAAGCGAGTATTGAAGGAGAGGAAAAATATGAGCAAAGAATTAGAGGTTTAACCTGATTTCAAGATTCTGGTGTGACTGGGGTCAAGAGTGAGTGGAAATGTATACAAGGAGATGATATTAAGTCAATACAATTAGAGCTCACCTTAGAGGACTCTGAATGAGTCAGGATAATGATGAATCATTGGAGGGTTTCAATGTAACCTAGCCAGTGTTTTTAAAAGATACCTCTGCCAGCAGTGTGATAAAATGAATTAAAGGGTAAGATATTGATGGCAAGTAGGCCAGGTATACTGCTGAGATGATTTGCATAACAAAGATGAGGACCCAAAGAGGATTAGTGTGGCAGTGAGCATGAAAAAAAATCTATGTAAAAGAAAATGAGTAGGTAGAAGAGAGGCAACTTGGTAGCTAAATGGATGGGATGAGTGGGTTGGGGGATTTTAAAGGGCCCCTGGGAAGTTACCTCTAAAAGTTAACTTGTAAAATATCACATAGTGTATGATTGGCATTTAAATATTGAATAATTAAATGGGAAATAAATACAGTATAAATGAAAATCTAAAAATTGGAACTGTATGAGTTACCTGAAGAGAATGTCCAGCAGGAGTTAGGCTGAATCTAAAAGTTTCATTGAACTAAGGCACTCGATCATGTCTACATACTCTTGTTTTTTTCTTGATCAACTTTTTCTTGGGTAGAAATGTTCATCACATATATTTTCACATATAAATCTGAAAATAAGAATTCAGTTTAAGTGTCCATTAATAATACAATTTTCTATTCAAAGAGTTACAATCATATACAGAGAGTTCTCCTACATTTTACACAAAGCTCTCTGTGAACAATTTGTTTCAGACAACATTAAAATATACATCAATTTTCTTAGCAACTTAAATGTTTTCTTGTTGTATAATAAATACATCACTCTACACTTGTGTTGAAAAAATCTAATTTTTAACTAGTAAAATATCAACTTGCTCTATATAAGAGAAATTCATTCTTATTTCATATTTTTCAGATATATTTGGTACACAGCTCAAATTTTAATTAGCATTTTCTAGGCTATTTAGGACATACTCCTAAAGAGTTCCTAGATACATTATATTGCTCATTATCATAAAATTAGATACCTGGTAAGTGATCAGGAGATTTAAATTTGTAGGTGATATGTCTGCATTGGAGGATTCCAACTATGAGCTGTTCCCCATCTGTCTTCATTTCTTTCTTCAGTGCAATCTTGATTTCTCCCATTACCTGAGTTTTAACTGGAACAATTTAATTAAAAAGTTAAGGAATATGTCATGCCATTAATTAAGTGGTAAGTTCCATAATTTACTCATATTTTCATTTATTGAGTGTTTATCAAGTGTTAAACACCTTATTGCATCCTGTGGATACACAGATGAATAAAATACAGTCCCAGCCCTTAAGGAGAGGAAGGTCTCATGGGGAGACTGACAAATTATATGCTTACAATAAAGTATGTTAAGTATAATGATAAGCAAGTAACAAGAGGGGTATGGAAGAAATGCAAGTAGGTAAGTATTACTCAACTGCAGACTTTTAGGATAAAAGAGGTAATAGATGAAACTGCAGGGGACTATAGGAAGACAGTCATACATAAAAATAATAGAATTCTAATATAATATATAGGAAGTATTAAGTCAAGTGAAATGCAAGAAGTTGTTTGCCAACAATTGCTCACTACTTACCAGGCTTGCAAAAGAACACTTGCTAACACAACTAAATGCCGTTGTATATTATATCTACTGCCATTCTATTTTTCTTGTAAAAGAAGTAGGCAACAAGAGTATATGGTAATAACATTACACCAGGGAAAATATGAGTCATTGAAATGAATTCAATGTATTTCTTTCTAGTGTTTATCTTGGATCTTTACATTACTGAAGAAGCTATATATACTAGGTCAAATTCTTTATTGTTTCATCCTTTTCTCTATCAATGCATATATTTATCCACTTATCATTCACCAACAAATATTTTATTTTCCACCCTACTCTGTGATAAGCACTCTGTTAGGAAGAATGGATACAATGATAAGCCAACATACACATGCTTATTGGTTTGATGGTTTTTCAGGCTAATGGGAAGAAATCCATCAATGAAATATTTTCATCAATAAGTGTACAATTAGAAAGAGAGGAAAGGTTCTGAAGTACAAGAGCATGGTTACAAGAAAGCCTAGGAAAGGGCTTCATGAGCTGAAACCAGAAGAATAAGAAAGGATTAACTAGGTGACATGGACGGGGAAGAACATTATAAAGAGAAGGAACAGTGTGTTCACAAAAGGCAACATCATGGGACTGAGGAACTAAATAAATATTCGTGTGATTATAAGGTATTGTTAAGTGGTACTATGTTAAGAATTTGGGTTTTACCTTTAGAACAACAGGAATCGATTAAAGGTCTTTAACATGGATGTAGATCATTTGTTCTCAAACGTTTCTGTCTCAGGATTTCTTTATACTCTTAAAAAAAATGGTGGTACTCAAAGAACATTAAAATTTCTAATTAAAAAATAAAATTGGATATTTAAAAATTTATTTATTGATTCAGTTAAAATGACAATAATATACCTATAAATAAGTATTTTAATGAAAAATAACTGGATTTTCCAAAGCAACAAAAAATAGTGAGGAGTGACATTTTATAGTTTTCAAATTTCATTAGTGCTTGGCTTAATAGAGGACAGCTGGATTCTCATACCTGTTTCTACATTAAATCCACTTCAATATGCTGTTTTATTTGAAATATATGACAGTCTCACACACATATATATATATAGTTGGAAAAGGAAGGAGTATTTTAATATCCTTTCAGACAACTGTGGACAATCTTTGATACTACATTAACACTTGAAAAGTGGTAGTTTCTTTAAGATTAGTGTAAATGTGAAATCTGAAACTGTATCAATGAACCTTTGGACTGTTACTTTAAAATACAATTGTCTGTCTTGCACCTTGAATGGACCAGTTAACTATGCCTGAATTGGTAACATCCTATATTGTTCGTTTTGGAAAATACTGGTTTACTGAGATATGCAGGTCTTCAAAACATTGACACAATTCATACAATATTAAAAGCACATTTGTTAATATCACCATCGATATCATAAAAAAAGTCTGACTATTGAAAAGCTAACAAGCTCAGGGAGGCAGGTATAAGTTTTGGAAAATTTTATTTTTACTTAAAAGTTGATTTTTATTATTGACAACAACTATTGCCAATTGTTTTTTTCAAAGTGAAAAACTCACTTTGTTAATTTTTGAGAAAATGGCAGCTGAATACAGTCAGCCTTCAGCACACATGGCTTCTGCATTTATGGATCCAACCAACCGAAGATCAAAATATCAAAAAATTTTTTCCAGAAAGTTCAAAAAAGCAAAACTTGAATTTGCCACATGCAGGCAACTATTTACATAACATTTACGTTGTATTAGGTATTATAAGTAATCTAGGGCTTCCCTGGTGGCACAGTGGTTAAGAATCCACCTGCCAATGCAGGGGACACGGTTTCGAGCCCTGGTCCAGGAAGATCCCACATGCCGCGGAGCAACAAAGCCTGTGCACCACAACTATTGAGCCTGCGCTCTAGAGCCCACGAGCCACAACTACTGAGCCTGCGTGCCACAACTACTGAAGCCTGTGCACCTAGAGCCTATGGTCTGCAACAAGAGAAGCCACTGCCATGAGAAACCTGTGCACCGCAACGAAGAGCAGCCCCCACTCGCCACAACTAGAGAAAGCCTGCGTGCAGCAACGAAGACTCAATGCGGCCAAAGATAAATAATTAAAATAAATAAAAATAAATTAAAAAAAAATAAGTAATCTAGAGATGATTTAAAGTATATGGGAGGATGTGCATGGCTATATGCAAATGTTACATCATTTTATATAAGGGACTTTAGTGTAAGCAGATTTTGGTATTTGTGGAGGTTGAGGAGGCTCCTGGAAACAATCTCCCATGGATACCAAGGGCTAACTCTACCAAAGTTTGAATAAACAGAGTTTATCTGTCAGTTGTCTTTCAAGTAAAAATGATATTTCTTGTAAAAAAAAAAAAAGGCTGGCTCAGCTTGCAACTCAAAAACATTGCACTAACATGTTTTCTCAAGTCAACCTTCATATTTTGGTATGCAGCAGACATGCTTTATGTGTAGTTCCCATTTTATCACACAGAATATTCTAGAACATATACTATTAGAAACACATGTACTTAAGGGTCTAGGTTTAATAACAAGAATTTAAATTTCTTTATCAAGGATATTGTTAAGTGAAACAGGCAAGTTTTTCATATAAGTGCATGGTGGTAAAAAATAAATAAATACAGTCACTATTAGTGCAATTTGGTGCTGCTACCCTGATTTATGCTAAGTCACCAGCAGTTTTCTGCAACATTGCTTTTGCATTATCAATGTAAATCTCAACACGGTAAAATGTTAAATAATATCTTAGTATATTTAAAAAATAATTTTGACCTGGATGCACTTCAACAGTCTTGGGGACCCACAGGGATTTCTGAACCATACTTTGAGAATGACTGTTAAAGAATATAGTTGAGTAATCTCCAAGAGGAAATCAAAGTAGCAAAAGCATCATGTACAAAATCTATTAGATTGTAGTTATTTAATCATTTTGATTTAATTTTATCACACTTCTGGATATGGGTTTTTAGAATGCATTTCTTCTCTGCATTAATTTTTGCTTTAATTAACTTATATTTTCATGTCTAGATGTACCCTGACATGTGGAAAAATATCTACCAATACCATACTTTGGCCTGCACGCTTCCTTTTTTCAAAACACTAAGTTCCCCAAATAGGCAAAGTTGCCCTCCATATGTTTTATAAACTGAAACACCGATCTTCTAGACATAGTTAAATCGTGATAATTCAGCAGCCAATGATCACAGATACTTCACAGTAGCTGGGTGTTAGCTTTACCCTTGAGAAATTCAATAAAATAAAGTGCAAGCCAAGGATTTTTTATACAGCTAAAGTGTCTTTCAAGCAGCAAGCCTATAAGTTTAAGCATAAGGGACTCAAGAATACCATAGAAAAGTTCATTCTCAAGAAATATATGAGAGGATGAATTTCATCACATCAAAGAGATAACTAGAGAGACTTCAGCCAAAGGAGTGATGGTGAATATTTAATATATTTAATTGTAGAACTGAGACTAAACTAAGAGTGAGAATATAGGTGGGTAGAAGGGCAGCATGTAATTGTCATGTATTCTGATAGAGTATAAAGGATGAAACTGAAAGAGATGGGTGACAAAGGGAGAGAAAGGGACAAGTAGAATGAGATTGCTGATTTTTGTATAGGTAAATTGTAGGTGACAAGTTATACTATTTAAAATTGACAAGACAGATGGTAAATGGTAAGAAGAGCAAACATAATAAAAAGTATAAAAAAAGGCAATCATTGGAACAAAGATACAAAGCTTTCTTAATTACAAAAGAAATTTAAAAAAGACATCAAATGGAGAAAGAAACACAACAAATCTAACATCATATACACAATAGTTATAAAACAAAATGCAGAGTTGTGATCAAACATATCTGTCATATCAATAAACATGAACAGGTTCAGTGAGCATATTTTTAAAAAGATATTCAGATTGGCCCATAAAGCAAAGCTTATGAGCTATGCTATGCTAAAACTTAGTTTCGTTTCAAATAGTCACAAATACATAAATTGTAAGCGTGACAGATGTATGGAAACAATAAGAGAGTAGGGGTTGGTATCTTATTGTGAGGCTAAATAGAAATCAGTTCGAAATGTAATAAACAAGACCAAAACAAGAGGACATTTTATAAAGTTAAACATCCATAAATCATAATGAAGACAAAAAATTATGAATATCTATGCACCACTAAAATATGTTGAAACTAGAAAATAAGGTGTAAAGATGTAGGAGATGAAAGCCAGAATAAAGAGAATAATAATAAAATACTTTAACACAGTATTTTCAGTACAAGACAGGTTAAGTAGACTAAAATACATAAAGACAGAATATTGAGACACCATAACCAATACAGCAGATCTCAGGATGTACGTATTAAACACTACACCCTGATAAGACAGAAAATATCTTTTCCTCAATTAAATATGGAACATGGATCATATTGATTGATTATGTATTGACCTACAAAGTAGACAATGGTAAGTTCTATAAAATGAAGCTAATACATTGTCTGATAACACACACACACACACACACACACACACACAAAGGCTTT